TCGTTCACTCAGGAAACCTTTACTGCAGATAGTACAGTTGTGGAGCGGCCTGTTATTGTCGTGATATGGCATATGTTGTTTCAAATGTTGTTTCAGTCTGAAACTTTTCCCGCATAACGGACAAATGTGGTGCTTCTCATCGGTATGAATCATCATATGCCTTTTTATATTTATCGTGATCTGTCCACATACTCCACACTGCAGTTTCTTTTTTCCGATTTCCTCCCTGCGAGTCTTTCCGTACTTTTTTGTTTAACGTTCTCTTCTTTGACTGTTAATTTCATCTTGACTGTCAAATTTTGACCGTTAAATTCATTTGTATTTTTAGCGACTATTTTGGCTTTCGGCATTTTATTGGCCACTTCGGCTAATAACAACAAATTTCCCATTTGTTCGTCATTCAATCCCTGCACTGATAAATCCAAAGCTTTGTTTGTTCCGTTTGCGCTTCCTCAAATTATATGAAATTATCAATCTCGTTGTGTTAAAAATTTGAAATCTTCGCATTAGTATAGTGCTGTGTTGTATTTTTAATTTTAAATGAACTTACTGTAATTTGAAAGTTACTCAGTTGGACGAAGATGACGACGACAAAATAAATGAAATGCATGTTGATATGACTGATTTCTTGCGTATTCTGGAAAATATTCAAGTTTACTAATGCAATAAGTATGACAAACGGTATTAATTTCTTGCTAGTATAATACAATGGTATTTCTCACTCAAACGATAAGCATAAGAAGTTATTCACGCTGCAGGTCGGTAGTAAACTTTCCAAAGTGAAGTATCCGCAATATTCAAAGTTACAAATCAAATAAAAAGATAATTTTGTTTCAAAAAAATGTTTATTTACATGTTCGTCGTGAAATTTCAAAATCTTTTATAACCAATACTTTGAGCAGCAGTTGACATTCTCTGTCGAAATTAATGAGATTGAACTTACCAGATAAATTGCGTGGAAAAGACTTTGACACAAACGACCAGCTACTTCTTTTGTTAGGGATTGTTCCAATATTGTCTGTATAAATATTCGTCCAAATGGGAGTGACAAATTATCTGTATTGATAATTTTTGTCCACGTGTAATAATGTGATTGTAGCAATGGCTGTTTAATCCTTTATACTGAATAATTTCATTTTAACTCTTTTGCACAATTTTGTTTTATTTCGCTTCAATTTTTCCAAACCTTCAAAATCGAGGAAATATTAGCAAAAGAAAAAAACTGCACTAATACATTTTTCGCATTCTTCTGCATTGCTGCGTTTTTTTTTTACAGGCGATTTACGTATGCATTTATATTACTTACGACCTTATTAGCAAATAACTTCTTTTAATCAAATCATCAAATCCTTCGTTCAGACTGTATGTCCATTCTTAAACATAGTTTTCAAATTTGTTGTGTAAAGAAAAATTTTATGAAACTTTGAAAATTCCTTAGTTTTTAAAATGGAAAAAATATTTTCAGCTCACAAAGCGTGGGCATTAATGAAATACGAAAAGTCTTAAAACACATGAATGATAGTAACGGAGTGATGACATGATGATAATGCCTATGACGACATTGATCAGCTAAAACATTTGACAAAAATTTATTAATAAATAAATGAAGTAAAAAGCGCTTTGGGTACGATACTACCAGGGCATTTGTATAGTTCCATGTGTAGTGATAGCACCCTATATGTACATCACATTTATAATTCTTTTTTTCGCGTCTTTTGTGACGCACGTAGTAAACATTCCCACAAGATAAAAGCAAAAAGCGCATGTTGCGATGTTAGATTTCATGTATGCATACAATCAGACATGAAATTGCAAACAAAATGATTGAAGAGCGAAAATGTTAACTTGAATATTTCGGGTTTCAGAGAAAATTAATGCAGGGAACAATTCTAAACAGAGGCCATTGAATTTCTCCTGGAACATTAATAGTAGCATTTCTATATCTCAAAACGTGGTCGTAATGATAGCTGTATTTGAAGCATCACTTGAATACTCATTGTGATTACACAATAACTTTTTGAAATTTCTCATAACTTGAAGCTGCTCAACCACTGTTCCATTCACTGAAGTAACGCTTACTGAAAATCCTAACTGAGTTAAATATTTATGAAAGCTGCCTTTTGTTTAATGCTTAATTAATTGCTCTAAGTTGTTGTTGTTGTCGTGGATTACCTTTTGGCATTACCTTTTTTCTTTTCATTTTCTTTTTCCAAATTTCCATCAATCGATTATTCGTAATAATTATCCACCTATTAGACATCCTTTTTCACTCCTAAAAACTTATCGTGTGATATTCTTTAGCATTATAGAAATTCGAAGTAGAGTGAAATTGAACGAAAAAATATCAATTCACTTTAGCTAACCACGAGTAGATAACCTGAAATACGATTAGGTTGGCCAAAGGATGAATCCAAGGCTTTCGATGTTGGAGCTCCTTGTGCAGGATTTAACAGAGCGAAAGCCTTTCGATGAGAAGATTGTGATGCGGATTAGGATAGTCACAATCTTGTGAGACCAGATCCCGCGAGATTTTAATACCCGCAAATGAGTAACTTCTGAAAGTAAATGTTTCGTTTATCTTGTGAAGCTTTTGAATTTATTGAAATCATTGGAGTTATTTTAACGATTCCAGAATACAAATTCACAAGGTAACTGTCAAAGTTTTCATTTCACATTTGTTCAGTGCTAATTGCTTCTTTTACAGCAGCATCTGTTAGTGGCATTTCGGTTGTTTCATCTTGTACTCCTGTTTTTCCAGAAGCCTGAAGATGATGCATGTCAGTTAATAGCGTTGTTCGGATTATGATATATTCGACTTTTTATAGCATTACACATTCTAATGATTTCATAACAATAATAAAGTGTAAAATTGTAGGCTGTCAAATCACCTCCATGCGGTCATCCTCACGTTTAACTTCACGAACTGTAACGTCGTATTCATCATCGTCGAGGACATTATCGCCAAATGCATTTACGTTTGATTTGGGACTAACAGCGCCATCTTCAAGCTCGATATTCGCATCTTCCTCCCCTTCAACTTCAAGCTTCTTTTCCAGCAGAAATGAATTCATCAACTTGCGCGCATCCTTGCAAATATCATCTGCTGAAAAAAAAAAAAATTTAACTTCCACAACAAACCTTTGGATGAATATAAAACGATTCTGATGTAAACTATGCTGAACGATGGAAATTATTAATTGAATAATTTTGCTGACATTGTTTGATAAGATTGCTGAATAACAGCGCCATGGCGGATGCTTCCTGAGCTAAGTTTTTGTTATCTTCGATTTCTATTCGTAGTTTCCGTACCAAAATCGACGTAAACGGCAGATGTTCATCCGTTTCCGCACGACGTATGTTGGCAGCATTCTGTCGTTCATTTAACGTATTCGACAGTACTTCAACCACGTCACTTACACCCTTGAAAAATAATCACTGTCTCATTACTTTTCAAATTAAGTAATGCTTCACACAATCTGCTTAATTACCAGCTTTAATATCACAAAAATCGATATATTACTGAACTAAGAATGAAAGGAGGATAATCGTTTTTGTTTTTTTTTTACGCCTACCTGACACTGTTTCTTCAGTTCTGTTAGAGTTTGAGTAAGTCCATGGAGTGATCGCATCGCATCTTTGCCCGTAATTTTCATATTTCCCACAGACTAAATATACAAAAAGTGAAAAAATTGAAAAGCAAGAAAAAAAGGAAAGATGAAAAAATACCTTGGTCATTTCCGCATTTGCATAAACGATATTCCTTTAAGCTCATAGATGATTTCACTTGCTGGCATCCACGAATGAGCTTCATTGTTGCATTGGCCTGAAGTAAAAATGTTTCGTATTGCATATAAACGGCTCAGAACAGATTTTTATTTTTGAGAGAAATGATTTCTTCCATTTAGATACTGGAAGAGGTTTTTCGGAAGGTTTTTGACTATATCATATTACAATCAAAAAAAGCTGAGTTAGGATAAAATAATTTGGTTGATTGGATCGATCGTCCTCTGTTTAAATAATTGCGGTAAATTACCAACGCATAAAGCGCAAATGACTTTTTCACAATTTGTGCACCATAAATATAATGCGGATGACGTTTGTGGTGAATAAAGGTTGCATTTCTCACATTGCCAATCCGGTAGGATTGGATCCTTAATGAAAACAAAAATTTTGATAAAATTTTCGTCCGCAATTGTTTTGATGTGTGACATTACTTCTTTTTATAAATCCATTTTTCCCTAGAAGAATTCAAATATTGTGCAGGAATGTGTGGAAGTGATTCCCGCGGAATAATTTATAATTAGTATATAGTTTAGATCGGAGTGATGGATTGAATAGCTTTATCTTTTACAATATGATTGCATGATTGTTACAAATCTACAATAAAATGTCTGTTGCAAATTATATCTGATATATTTCAGATTACAAAATGTCAAAGGTTAAAATGAAGTTCATAACCCATGTTCAACTTAGCAAGAATGTGAATTTCAGGGGACTCTAACCTCAGAATGATTCATCGCCTGGAACTCGGGAATCCGGAATTAACAAAAGTCTTGACAATGAGTTAATCAAGAGAATGATAACGACAATGAAGTTCGTTAAATTAATAAATGCTTTTTATGCTTGTTAGCGTTTTAGTTTTGATAGTTTGGCAAATTTCGCAAAATTTCCAAAATTAGCATGTCTTTTCGAATTTGTAAATTTTCTCAGCATTAATATTTGTCACTGGATGCTTAAAATCACGTTAAGTGTTTTAGATAATGCTTTAAAAGTTTTAATAAAATATTGCATTGCGGGATTCAGAATCAAACAGCAAATCCGTCTCGGTTACAATATCTGATTAATGCGGTGTTCCTGATCCTCAATGGTTCACTAACAAAGTATTGTCGGCAGCGAGCAAATGAACGTATTGTCTCGTTTCTTACGATCTTCTCTTCCCTATTTCAGTTAAAACGTTTTTAAACCTTTTTGAAAATTAGTTCTCTATTTTTTTTCCCCTTAAATTGCCATTCCAAGAATACCAAATTAACTTTCTAAAGTTGATGATGCATTCAATCCTTTACTAACCATTGAGTGGATTTTCCAAAAAAAAAAGAAAAAAAAATTATCCTGAAATATATATATTGTATTAAAACAGGATAATCCTGCTTCTTCTTAAGACCGAAATTTGAAATTGTAATGTTGAAAGAAGAAAAGAGCAGCTTGCTCCTGTTCACAAAACAAAGCCGATTCATTGTCATTTATTTTTGTGAGTTTAAAAACTCATTTTTGACTTGTGTGAAAACAATTAATGCGAAAATTTGTAATTGATATACTCCTGAAACAAGAATAATTCTCGAACGACCAGTGAAACTGCACGATAAAAGATGAGGAATAACGACGTGAACCGTATAAGCAAGACACCTTTTCCATTCATTGCTCTTTGCACATATTCATTTCAACCATATGAAACTGCAAAACAGGATTTCTTGGTATATTTCACATCTTTTCCTCTTGATTTCTGTTATCAATAATATTTTTATATACAGTACCATGAAAGAAAGAGAGAACACAAAGATTATCAATAAGTTAAGAGAAATGATATCGTGCAAATATTTAGTAGTGAATGCGACTTTTACCATTATTGAATGTCAACAACCGTGACACATTATGTATTAAATAATATATTTATCCAAATACAATTTCGGGTACGAAATATTTGAAGCTTACAAGTAAACGGTTCTTCTACATAAACTATTGCAAACTGTTATAACTGGCAAAATGGAAAATCTTTTTTCTTTCATCTTTTTTTGCTAAAAATACGTATTACATTAAAAAACACGTGATCAACAACATCTAGTTATTGTAAGAATCAGTAAAGCAAAGAAGTAAAGCTTTTGCAACTTATTTATAGATACCTCATCCTAACCATGCGTTTCCTCAATCCTAATTAGCTATAAATATAAAGAGATCATGATTTTAAGGTTTTCAAAACTATCTGTATCTCTAGAGAAAGATGAACTTTGCAAAAGTATTCGACTATGACAAAAAAGATGACAAAAGATATTTGATACAGTTGAAATATACCTGGAAAATATAATTTTTCATGAAAAAGCTTACAATGTTCGGTGTGTTTACAAATTAACATATTGGACAAATTCTAGTTACAACTGAGAAGATCAAAAAATTATTAGTGAATAAATAACGAAATGCAGAAATCATTTTACTTTAACTCAAACTACTCAAACCAATGCACTAAACTAATGGATATCGCATTCGGGACATTAGGTTTCAACATTTGGTCTATGAAAATATGTGATTTGGTGTTGCACCGTTTCCATTTAACCAGGTTTTATCGAATCTGAAAACTATTCATTTTACTAAAAAACTATTCAAAAGCCTTCATAAAATACGGACAAAGAAAGTAATATGTATCTACTAATTAAGCAGCCAAAAACCAAAAATTGCCGGACATACTGAATGGTTTTTTAGTTCCGACTCATCCATTTCGAATTAAAATACCAAGTAATTCTATTCTGTTTCAGTTTATAATTAGTTTCAATTAATTTCGACTTTGCTACCACCTATTTATTGCACACCTAACTAAACAGAAAGTTAGTTTTTTGAACAGAAAGTTTACTTCTCCGAGCGTCTTCTCAGGCCCAGCATATCAGGGGTTGTAATGGCAGAAGCGGATAATGCAATAGGACTTGGTTCTATGCCACTACGAGAAAAAGCAGCAGCTACTCGACTAATTGAACGATTATCACCAGCCAACTTAAACCCGTCCTGAAAGTTAGAAGAGTTACAGTACGCTAGAACACATAGTAAAGTGAGTGTTATGTAATTTTGAATGAAAAAATAGTCCCGATGTCATACTTAGCTTAAAAAGGAAAAGCTAAATAAATTTTAGGATACTCGAAGAAATATTACAGAACTGATTCAGAGAGGCAGTCTTCAGCAAGGAAAATCTTTGGTGAGTACCGTTTCCAAGCAGTCGCTGATAGGAGTACTGGTCGCAAAACGCCCTGATGAACCTCCACCACTTCTTTCTGTCGAAGTTAGACTGCCCCCTTCTAGAAAAAAAGAAAAAAAAATCGTCCTGGAACCATTTTAGAAAACTCTAGTGAGTAAAAAATTGCAGGATTGAAACTACCACTCCGTAGTGGTCATTTTCACAGCGGTTCTGTTATGAAATCGAATCATTCCCAAATCCCAGTTTTGTGAGAAAACATAAAAACAATTTCGAAAGTTTCTAGCCTTTCAGCCGTCAGTTTCGAATAATAGTGGGTTAAACATATGCTTTACAAAAAATAGATCAACTTACTACTTCGTCCAGCTGAATGAGGAGTATTACGTGAAACAGAGCTGGTAGCCAACCTGAAGGACAACGAATTTGGACTTTTCAAAAAGATAAACAGAATGGATGGCACACATCAATTTTAATCCCTCTCGTGATTTTACAAAGTAAAAAAGTTCCTGATTTTACCCTAAACAACCATAAAACTAAAAAATAGATGAGCAGCAATGAAAATTAGTACACGTACATCTGTTCCAGTTTTTGAGCATGATGTCGAAGCTTGTCAATTTCTCGTACCAGTGACTCCTTTTCAGCCAAAGCTTTCCTGAAAAACGGAGAACTCTAACAAAATGCGTGTTTATGGGGGGAGGGGGGAAGCGCTTACTAAGAGGACAAAATACACGAACCTTTCTCTCTCGGTCTTCTGCTTCATTACGAGTTGCGCTGATATTACGTATTTCATTGCTTTCTTCTGCTATAATATCGAACAATCAATTGTACCGCTTGTAAGTTCGATTATTCATTGGTAATTTTGTTGAGTACCGATTTCTGCAAGCTTATTATCGATTCATGTGAACTACCTGCCTGTTCCTGCTTGGCCTTTTGTAAATGTTGACGATGGCTACTTTGGAAATCCAAAACTGCATTTAAATTTTTCACATATTGTTCCAATAATTCTTTTGGATTTCGAAAATACATTTGCAAATCGCTCCGAAGATTCCGATTAATTTTCACTGCATTAGCATGCTTGCTACATCGCATGCAATGATCTTGAGGAGCTGAAAATGTCAAATTACATAGAAAAATACCACAGAAATAAATGAATATACGCTTTTCTGTGAAATCAGTTTTTTGGATCTCATCAAAATCATCAATAGTGATTGAAAATGGATGATTGAAAACTCACAGAAATTAAAATTCTATTCAGCAAGCTCGCGAAAAATTTCCTGAATGCATCAAAATTGGAGGTAATGAAAGGAGAAATTAACCTGCTTCGTAGCATTTACCACAAATAATATGACCACATGATGTGAAATAAAATGGATACTGTTCGTTACCTTGAGATGGCATACGAATGCATACATTACAATGAATCCAATCACCCATCTGTAGCAGCCAGTCTACTAAAGAAACTTCATGATTAAATGATTCTCAGTCATTGCCATATTAAGCCGTAATTAGTGCTAAGATTTAATTATCTTGTTACATCAAAATTTAATGCCTAATAATTTTTAATATGAAAATCAAGAGTTAGTCTAAACCAGACCAACGTTCAAAATTAGCGCGTCATAAAATGTCTATCTTACCGCTGCTTATGCTCTTCCACCAATCCATTAAATAATCACCCAAGCAGTCACCCAGAGCAAACCCCCGCATCCACTGGCAACTGGCAAATCCTCCAGCCAAGTAAACTACACACCGCGGTACTGCGAACCGAAAATGCAACAATTATCCCCCAATTGTTAACGACTTACCTGATTATCTGTAGGGGAACTCATCCATCAACGGAATAAGAAAGGAAAAAAAAGAGGAATAGCTGACAATAGTTGTTATAAATTACGTGCAATATCGTAAAATGCGTGCAACAACGATATGATGAAAATTTTCCAAAAAGCGCCGTTAACAATGCATGCAAATTTTGGATGCATCATTTAATGAAATGATTGATCTGAGCGAGCCATTTCAAGCGGGAGAGTAGAAGGAAAGAGTTGTTGCTTACGTGCGGTTAAATGGTAAATGTTTGGAACATTCTAGAAATCCTCGAAAAATGACCATTCCATTTCTTCTTCTCTGATTTGATGATCATTGACGAAAACAAGGAGTCGGAAGATGTTGGGATGATTGCGCTTCGGTGGTATAGTTTCAACTTAGAATTGAAGAATGTGTAATAAGCGGAATCAGTGTTTCAATTTAGAATCAAACGACGGGTGATACGGTTGGAATTGGTGCTGAAATCAGTGTTTCAACTTGAAGTCAAACGACGAATGATGCGGTGGAATCAGCGCTGGAATCAGTGGTTTCAGTTTAGGATCAAACGACGAGTGATACGGTGGAATCAGCGCTTTCAAATTAGGATCAAACAACGAATAATACGATGGCATCGGTGGTTTCGATTTAGAATCGAACACATGATACAGTGGAATGCATGGTTTCGAGCTCGCGAGCAACTTATGTGGTGGAATCGATGGTTTCCACTTGGAATCAAACCAATGATATGGTGAAATATGCTTTCTTTTTTTTTTGCCTTGAATTTTCCAAAGGAAAATAAATTGAAAGTTTACAAAAATAATTGTCTAATATAGATTTCTTCTGATTATTACGAGATCTTTATAACTCAAATTATCGAAAAAAGGACCCATTAATTATGGCAACTCCTTATATCACGTAGTTGTAATCTGTGAAACATAATTTATAGCATAAATGAAATTATGTTAGTTGTTCCATCAAATTTTTATAGATTCTTCTGAGACATGAGAAAAAAAAAAAGAGTCGCTGGGTAATTATGCCAACTTCTCATTGCACAGCGTATAAGAACAGTAGCATTTATCTTCAGTACAGTATTGTTTTCAGCCAAATTTGTGATTCCATCAATTGTTTTAATTTCTAGAAGTCTAATTGTAGAAATGCTATTGTAAATATTGTGTGGACATCTTAATCTGTTTTAAATTTCCTAGTAAACTCAGTCCTAGATGTAAATTATTTTTCCTTAGTTGCTATGAATTTCAACTTGAGCAGCTATGAGATTCGAAGATTCGGATGATATCATTTTTCATGGCATGATCTTTCAGTTTGTTGGTTTTAGTCGTTGCGCTTTGATTTCATATATTTCGCTACGTAGTTTTACAAAATAATTCATCTGATTGTTGAAATCTTATCTTTTCAACGGTAGTTTTTTTGAAGAATCATAAAATTTTTGAGAACCATAATTTCAAAACCATATTATGCGAATTATACGTTGAAAATTATGGGTTAGTTCTGTTAGGTACTGAATTGTGAGTGGTAGTCCAACCTAGTTTGTGAAATTTCTAACCAGCAACCAGTTCTATTTCTTTTCTTTTTTTTGTACCTGAGCATATCAGCGTATTCAAGATTTCTGTTTAAATGCATGAAAATTTAGCAATAATTTTATGGAAAAATTTCCTAACTTGTTCTTCCTCGAAATCTGATTTGTTACTCAGTTTCCATAATAATCTTAAAGAATATTTGCTGCATTAGCATTTTAATATACTATTTTTGTCATCTGATTTCTGCTTCTGCCTTTGTTCTATTTGATGCTTTTAACTATATCCGGATTCAGCTTAGTTTCACTGCTTGCCGAAAACTTAAATAGCAGTTTTCAGTAAACAAGCCTCCTATAATCATATATCATTTTGTAATTTCGCGTGATATTTTCCGTGTTGTAACTGGTTGTAACTGCTATCAGTCTAGCCGCCAAACAAATGCTCATCGTTTTATTTGATCTTGAGGTTTTACTAGTGATCTATTAAGAATAGTTAAACTCAAGATAATCACATATCTTTTGACATTGCGTTCTGTTTTGTCATTTTCATCGATTGAATTAGTAATATCTTGCTATTCCTGGTATCAGTAGCGAGAATTTCGAAAGCCTCACGAATACTCACAAATAGAACCAAAATAAAAAACGTAATCATTCTATGTGCGTTCAAGAATCTGTTGCTTTTGAACGATGGAATAGGAGTTCCTAAGCGAAATAAATCAGGCTGGGAAAAAGCCTGAACTATACTATTTGGTATGGTTGAAATCTTTATAATGTAAAATAAATGATCAAGTGGAATGGAACTGATGATGGCGAGGAAATATTTTACTTCGTTGCACTCGAGCGATGCGTATTCTAGTGCTTCTAACGTGCTGGAAGTAACAACATATTTTGACTATTTAAGAAATTGGCTCTGAAGTTGATTCTAATTGTTCCAGATGTGTAATAATTCTAACAAATCAATTGTGGAAGGTGATGTGAATTATCATGTGCGAATGGATGAAATCAATTCGAGGGTTTATTTCTTAATACCACATAGTCAGTAGTTTTGAAGGTTTCATAATTTTTCATAAGCTGAGATTTGTCAAGGAAGATCACAAAAATATCCCAAATATTTTGAGGTTTGTTCATAACTTCAAGAGAAATCTCCTACTTCCAAACTTATTAGAACATAGTGATAGCGTAAAACAATCTTTGAATGGCTAGACGCCATATTTTTCGAAAAAACTTGCCTTCGTTTTTAAAAATTAATACTGCTAGTATCGTTTAGCTAGCTGAATAAACAAAATAGCAGATGAACCAATACAATCAGTTGGAGATATAAATCTTGGATTACATTCAAGTTATACATTGTATATCTGATACATCATCACAATTGACTATCAATCTTCTATTTTCATTTGCAGCAAAGTTTTTTGCAAGTGTTAGTTTGTTATATATTATATATCTGACATATATTGCTGTATATTGTATATCTATTATATATCAGGATCGCTTTACGGCGAGTGTTTATAAGTCGTAGACACTACAATGCAATCCTGACGACGACGTCATGGCAGGAAAGGCAACGATTAAGTATGAAATGAAAAAAAAAAAGTGATTAACATAAAAACAAATATTAGAAAGTAGGCTCAAAAGTTGTTATTTTGTCAAATGTACAAAATCGAGAAATGGGAAAATATGTCTGGTTGGAAAAATTGCTATACAATTAATATTTCTTTTAAATCAATTTCTTTCTGATATGTCACTTTTTTATAAACTGAACCAAAATTCCAGCGAGCATGCTTCGAATTTTTGATAAGAAACTTTTGGAACCATTATATCAATATTTTGTGACAAAATCCACAAGCATCCCTTCCCATACTATGGCAGATCGGGTAAAAGGGAAAAGTACTCAAGTGAAACTTCAGAAAAATTTAGGAAAATGTGATGTTGAGATATTTTAGAAAAATCAAATTATTGAGATTTTTTGAAAATGATACTGAGATATCGAAATCAAACACATATTCATGTCCGAATTTCTATTCTATCCTGTTTGTTTTAGAGTAATCTCAGCAATTAAAATACCACAAACGAAGGTTAAGCAAGTGAAGAGCGACAAATTCGTGCAATAATTTATACATTTTGTGCATTTTTAGGCTGTTACATTGAACATTAACTGCAAATATTGCAGCAGTCCTTGGTTTTGATGCTAGAATAAACTCTACAATTTGAAATCTTCTTTATGACTCTTAGATGAGTTATAATTTTTACAATTAAAAATTTTCTAAACCGCATTATATTTGTCAAATAAGGTATGGTTGCTGAATTCGAAGTGAAAATTCGAATTGCTTGCGATGGATGAGGAAGAGTCGATAAAATTGGTAATGTTTAGGCATTTCGATAGCTGATAAAGCAAAATCGAATAATTCTTAAGCAAATTTTTGTGCGAAGACGAAGAAACCAGGAAAAAATTCTGTAAATGATCGGAGGGAGAAGAAAAGAAAATTTCTTTTGAATATAACTGGCTTGTAAAATCAGGGTTAATTTTTGATTCCTTGTTCAAAAATCAATATGTTTGGGAACAAACAAATTTGAAAAGTGTTAGTTTCAAATTTTGAGGAGAAATCGAAAATAATGTTAGAGTAAACTGAGAGTAATGATCGTTCTAAAAGGAATTATAAGAAATTTTGAAAATAAATATTTGGTCGAAGCGCTTTATGAAACAGTACCATCAACATATTCATATGTATAAATATGTATGTATTCTGAATTGTGAAAATATACCTACAATTAATCCATCTTAAGAATTATTTTTATTGATTTTAATTTTGTTTATCACATCATAATTTTACAATTTTACATGTTGAGAATATGGATCATTGCTTGATTATCGTTAGATTTGTTCCACGATAAATTTCACAAAAATTAATCAATAGAAGAGAATTTTCATTAGCTCATCTAAATTTCCACATATGAATGGGCATAATTTAACTCTTTGAATCATATTCTTTAATTCTAGCTTGAAATCATATCGTTTTCATCTTCTCTATTATCGCCATTATTCATTTACATTTTAGAAATGAGATTGTAGGATGAATAATAAATTTCATTTACTTTACAAAATCTATAGCCCTTATTATTACAATTAATTATTAACAAAAATATTCCCATGCTATGAAAATTTGTGCGAATTTCAAGAATTATGATGAAATTTTGAAATATTGCGGAATAAAAAAAAAATAATAAATTAATGTGAAAAAAATAATGCTGACGATATGTGGAAAATAACCATCAAAAATTTCATTTCAAAAAAGGAAAATAAAAAAAGTTAACTTCTCGTTCTTCTCCACTATGCGACTTAATTTTATTTATTTCTTGTTAGACATTGCAAGATCCATGCTTATTGCCCAATTTACCGAATGCATTATTTTTGAAGGAACCAAAACCGCGTCGAATACCGTAATCCATCGATTTTGTTCGACTAACACTTTTCTTCACTGGATTTAATGGTAAGGTATCGTAATGCGGTCCGTATCCCGAGCTACTATTGGATGATGAGCTTGTTTCAGAGCTAAATTAGCTAGAATTTAATTAGTCCTTTTTTTTGAGAAAGATTAGTTATTATTATTGCTTGCAAAGGTTTGATTTAAAAATTTTTCGTAAACTTACTAATTTTTCTGAAATTCTACATATAATGATAGTTAACAATAAACCAACGAATAATTAAGTGAAAAACTGGTGATATGGCGCGAATCAGTATGATTATTAATTAGCTGATTTTTGGATGGGCAAATTAAATCAACTAGATTGGTCAACTCTCATGAAATCAACAAATTAATTTAAATTAAATAATCTTGAATTGACTAAAGAACTGAAACTAAATGATTTGAAAAAACTAATGAAAGATGAAATTAATAAAGTCATAGCCAAATAAAAACTGAATAAATTATAATAAACGAAATATATTTAAATGTACCAAAATACTATAATCAAAAATTCAAATTCATTTAGTTAAAGAGTTAGGCTAATTAACTAAAAATAATCAAAAATTAAATAATGTAAAATAGCTTAATACAAACTAAATGTTGAAAAAAAATTACAAAACTTTAAATAAATTGATCAAGTAATATGATCACCAAAAGATGAGTTATATCAAATAATTCACGTAATACTTCTTAATAGTAAAAATAATCGATGACACTTTTGGATTTTACTTCAAATGAATCATTTAACTTACTTCGATGAAATAAGTAAATCACTTTGACCATCACCACAACTATCCCTTCGAATTGGTATATCTTCGTATAGTCGTGGTGTTGAGCCAATCGCTTTTGTAGCTGACAATAATACAGTCGAGCTGTTATAATGAATTGGCGATTTCTAAAAAACTATATTAAAATTAAAAAAATTGTATATTCGATATTTTATAATAAATGAGAATAAGCGAAAAAAATTAATTATTGTTATAATAGCTTAAAGTAATTAATACAATATATATATATATATATATCGAAATATCGGTAAAAATTGTCGTATGTGACCGAGTAATTAGCTTTTATAAAATATGTTTGTGATTTTAAATTACTTAATAAGCCATTTAAAAAAATGTACAAATTGTAACAATAAAAAATATTATATTAAAGTGGTGTACAACAGCTAAATAAATTCTTCATAAAGATTATTTAAGGGTAAGGAAAAAAAATGAATCAATTTTTATTTTTTTAAAATTTTAATTAATTTTTTTTAAATTTTTTTTTGTTTAAAAATTTTCAATTTAATAATATAACGATGAATGCATAATAATAATAATAATAATAATAATAATAATAATAATAATAATAATGACAAACCTTTCCTTCGCTATTTTTGCTTTGTTTGATTAATTTATAAATGAGAATGAAAACGATGACACCGATAAGGATAAATCCGGTTAAGCAAAATCCGTATAGTATCGTATTCATTTGTGAAGTTGTTGATAAGGATGTAGAAGATGATGATGAATCGTTGCCATCCAATAATACTGATTGAAATTGGCCCTCGCCAAAGGACCGCCATTCGACATCTATATTATTTCTTCGTTTTTTTTTTCTTTTTTTCTGATATTAAATTCAAAATTTGACGTTAGAAAAGAAAAGGAAAATAATAAAATGACTATTTTTTTGTACTTTACTAATTTTATTTATTTTTTAATAATTGTTGTAATTTTTTATGTCACATTAAAATAAAATAAAAATATATAACAATCTTGACTAATTATTTTAATTTAAAATAAATAGACATGTGAATTAAATTTGAACTGTCCAATGAATATTACAAATATAATTTATATTATGGAATATTTTCATTATAATATTAGAGTAATATGTATATTAGATGATAGTGGTAATATGAAAAAATTTCTCTTATTTATTCAATTAATTCAAAATTTATTTCGTAGAAAATTTTTTATATCAAATTTAATCAAAATTCAAAAATTAAAATGGAAAAAAAAAAGAAGGAAACCTTTGCAAATTGGACAACAGTGTCCTGGTATTTGTATGGAATTATTACATTTTGCACATAGTTGCTCTTTACATATTGTCCCACCACCTGGTTGACAGGTACAATTGCGACATGGACCATCACGCCATTCTTCATTTACGCTATATACACTATCTCCGTAACTACATACTGCACCAGATGATAGCACATCTGAAATTGAAAAAAAGAAATTAAATTCGAAAAAATTACGCAAAAATTTTAACTACACTTCGATAATTTCATTATTCAAGTTCTATTTAAAATAAAAAAATTTAAAACTTGTATTAATTACGAGATTTAAATTTACGCCAAATTGATGTGATTTATTTTTAAACTAATTACTATTATTATTGAATTTAAATGCAATTAATAAATCCATTGAAAACATTCAACCTTTTTTTTCTTTTTGTTCGAAAAAAAAAACAAAATGATGACTCACAATCATAGCTAAATTGATATACCTGAACAAACGGGACAACATCTTCCCTTAATTGTTAATGGCATTCCTCGACAATCTGTCAACTGTCGACATTTCTCTTCGAAGCATTCAATTTTCGCTTCGTCATCAATTGTGACACATCTAAATATCCATGTCAGGTAATGATACAATGATAATTCGTTTGTATTTAATTTGTTTTGCATCGTTAGTTTTTAATTAATTTGTTTGAATAGATATTATTTGAGATTTTAAGCAAAATTATGATTAAAATAATTTAATTAATTAGCTATAAAATATCAAGGAAGATATATACCTGCACGAAGTGCATTCATCTGTCCTCCAACTTGATCCAGCAACGTGTACAACATAATTATTGTCCGTGCATATCACTCTACCGATATTTGATAATGCTACTTCCGGAAGACCTGTCGATGATTTAATTTCTTCCGGACATCTGGAACAATTTCCACACTTGAAAACTACTACGAAATACAAATCAATACAGTAATCTTGGATAAATATGGAAATTTTACAGTTTAAAAGATTTTACTGACAAGTATGCATGTATATTTATAATTTATAAAAATTTAGCAGACTTTCAAATTTCTACATCATTGTATTCTAGCTGCTAAGATAATTATCAATCAACTAATTAATGAACAAATTTTGCTAATGATTAATGAATCAAATAGCTGACAATTGATAAATTATAAATGATTAACTAAGATTAATTACAAAATAAATTACTCAAGAAAATTAAAACTTGAGAAAAGAAAAATTACAAACATACTTAGGACAACATTGATTTCTTTCATCGAAAATAGGCATTGGACAAGCAATTGGTGGACATTCAACCACACGACATAAGACATTACCTACGCGACAAGTACATGATGTACAAGGAGCTAATTGCCACGTTTCACCATCAACAAATAATCGTCCAGCACTTTGACATACGGTATGTTCATGCTTTGATAGTTCCATCGATGGTTTCAAATCACAACTTGCACAGCAAGCATCTTTAAATATCACATTTGAAAATTAAAAAAAAAAGCAAATTTATTTCGTTTTTCAATTTAACTTTTATAAATTTATTCTTTTGTATACTGTAGCTATGTAATCAGAAAAATTTTCCATATAACATTTTCAATATGTTTTAACATTTATTGTACGTTTATCTGTTAAAATATTTTGCTAATTAGTTTAATCAGAAATTAAATTTAATTAAAGTTTACTTTTAGCATACAAACACAAAAGTATATTTAAAAATGTTATCTAAATATAAATATATTATTTTTAAATCCACATACCATCCTTTTTTTTCCAATGTTCAACTGGACATGATTCATTTCGTTCAGGACATGAAATTAGTGAGCAAAATTCC